AGCTTAAATGCCCTGCATTCTGAATCAATTTTTCTCTTACCTAATCTTTTCACCATTATTCCGTTCTCTCTTTGAGAGGGGTGGGTTTAGGATTTTTTTTCTGGGGGTTGCCAGATAGGGGCACAGACCGCAGAAGTGTGGAACAGAATGTCGCATTATATGTGTTTATGTATGAAATAGTTACTAACTAATAATGGTTAATAATGAAAATAGTTCATAACTAAGGAACATTTTATTGCAAAAGTCCAACTTTATAATCAAATACAAATACACATATAAGAAAAAAAACMTAAATGCTCTCTGGTATTGTTCTGGGGGCCGGACCAAATGGGGAGGCGGGCCGCATCTGGCCCGCGGGCCATAGTTTGGGGACCAGTGCATTACAGCAACAACCTTGTTTTAGTTAGCATCTATTTTTGTTGCACAGACAGTAAATCTATTCCTGGCCAGTCAGCAGCACCTATACACAACCCTGGCTGTGAATAAACACGTTACTTACTCCTGACAACAAGATTGACGTTTTTGCGAGCAGGATTGCCCACATTGTTGACGGCCGTGCAGTTGTAGAATCCTCCGTCTGCCGGTGTGACGGCACGCAGGATCAATGTGCCTCCCTTGACTTGGGCGCTGAGAGGAAGCGGTCCGGGATAACGGGTCCACTTCACATTGGGCGAGGGGTAACCTGCGGTCACCTCACAGGTGATGAGCACATCCTGTCCCGGATCCACCACCACTGTGTCATTGACTGACAGCCGGATCATTGGGGGAGCTGTGGAGAGGAGACGACACAAGAAATCAGAACACGTATTCTCTCTGGTCACCGAGGGGGAAAAATGCTTGTTTTCTGCTTCAAAACTTTACAACTTGTGGAACCTTCCCATGGTGAAAATTATTTTAAAAATGTGTTTGACATCTACAGTAGTTATCAAGTCACAACTACCATACTTTAATATCCATGTATACACCACACTACAAAATCAATCCAAATCATTTTCTTCATTATTAATTTGAAATGTAATTCAGTATGTTGTCATGCAAAAGATCAATTTATGATTTTTTTTCAAGAAACTGTGACTTGTGTTGTAAAAAAAAGTTGTAAAAAGGAAAATATAAAAGTAAACTCCCTGCATTTCATTTGTGCACATATTACGTACAAAACAAATATGAGATAAAGTTTGATTCTGCTCATAATCTGTTGTTTTTATCTCATCTCTGCCACAGGAGACATTTAAAATAACCACAGAAACAAAGACAAAAACGATATATTATGAAAAAGGTTTGAAACTTGCCAGATAATTGACAAAAAAAGTAGTAAAACCTGCTTGTCGCAATTGATGGGGTTAAATCACAATTAAAGTCAAACATTTAAATTGAGTACTCCAATTCATCTAAACCACAATTCTATTTGCAGGATTTTGTAATGGGTTTTTGCGTATCTTGCCTCAGGATGTAAATGGGGTGAAAGAAGCATAACGTTGACAAAAATGAGCTTGTGACCAGATTGTCACCAGGTGAAATCCCTTGAGAGTCTGCACCATTTCTACTTTTCTTCTTCTTCTTTTTACTGTAGAATAAAAAGGTTTCTTTACCTACCCCCCCCCCCCCCCCCCCCCCCCCCACACACACACACACACACACAGACACACACACCATCACCACCACCACCACCGCCGTGTAATAATGGCGCAGGGCAGGGCAGTCACGACCCAGTTTCTCTTCAGAAGAGACTTCAGCGGCTGTAAGTTAATCTGTGGTTGAAAAGCTCACAGGTGAGTTTGTACTGTGCAGGCCCATTGTTCAAATCCCTGAGTTCTAACAAGATCGACTCAGAAGAGAAAAGCAAGGTCACAGTTCTCAATTAAACCTGGTTTCAGTATGTTCATCAAACTCATGTCACTTTTTACATTTTTACCTCAGGTTTTCAAGTAACACACTTACTTGGTAAAACCCAGCGTCTTAAAACATTTGGGTACCACTTTACAATAAGGCTCCCCTTGTATATGGCATATAAATAGTTTATGGATAGGTTATTAATACATTTGTAAACACTTTATAACTCATTAATAAGTGTTTATTATTCATTAATTAAGGATGGGAAAGAGACAAAACTGTCCGATTTCTTGACAAATAGTGAGCCAAATGTGTTCATGTATATCCCACATCTAAAGGTGCTTATTAAACATTTCAGACTAGTTTACTACTTTGTAAGCACAATAATTTACTGAAAACACATATTTTACATTTAATATTGTTCTGTATTACCACATTATACATATCCACAGTAATCAAAGGGAGCCTTATTGTAAAGTGATGAACAGTATAATAATGTTAAAGTCATAACAGAGCCTTATAAATAGTGTACTGTCTTACATTTTGCAGCAAGTCTCCCTTTGACAGTTGTTAACATGTAAAAATAATATAGTTTAATGTTATTTTTTAAATATGTGTTTCCAATACATAATTGTGCTAATTAATCTAGTAATGTGTACACAAACAGATATGGCTCACTATTCGGCGAGAAACTGGACAGTTTTGTCTCTTTCCTGTCCTTAATTAATCCATAATAAACATTTATTAATGATTTATAAACCAGTGGTTATTCCGTATGTTGCGGGTGTTTTGGAGAAACTGAGACGTTTATTTTCTAAACATGATGTCCCAGTGGCTTTCAAACCCCAAAACACATTACGGCAAAGGCTGGTTCACCCCAAAGATCCGGTGCCCCGGCACAAACAGAGCAATGTTGTATATGCTGTTAAGTGCCAGGAGGACTGCGACCAGTTATACATCGGGGAAACAAAGCAGCCACAGTTCAAAAGAATGTCCCAACACAGACGAGCTACATCTAATGGCCAGAACTCTGCAGTTTTCACTCATTTACAGGCCAGCGGTCACTCTTTCAGAGATGAGGATGTTCTCATTCTTGATAGAGAGGAACGTTGGTTTGAGAGAGGAGTAAAAGAAGCCATTTTTGTGAAAAAAGACCGACCATCGTTAAACAGAGGTGGAGGCCTCTGTTTTCAGTTGTCCCCCTCCTACAGCACGGCTATTGCCAGTATACTCCACCCCCTGTTAACAATAGGTGTTAATTAGGTGTCAACGATAGCCATGTGATGTGAGTATCAGTCACATGGAGGCAGGGCTTAAAAGCCTGAATTTTGCCTGAAACTCTCAGACTGAAGAAGTCTCTTGGAGAAGAGACGAAACGTTTCATTAGAGAAGAACCCGTCCAGAAGACCTATACAATTTTTTTTCTTTTTGATTTATAAAGTGTTTACAGAAGAATCAATAACCGATCTATAAACTATTCACAAGCCATCTATAAGGGAGCCTTATTGTACAGTGGTACCAACATTTGTACACTAACATGTTTAATCATACTTATGGTGCGTTCACACCGAACGCGATTTCAGCTTCAAAATCGCAGCCAACGCTGAAGTCTGAAGCTTGTGCACTTTGAGGTCAGACGCAGGACAGTTGTTGAAGCGCCGCACGGCGACAGCCTCCCCGCCCCTCCCTCCTCTGTCGGGCTCTGTTTAATGTCGGACGAGGAAGTGGCTTTGCTTTATTTACAGACAGCCAGAACGTGTCACGTTCATCAGATAATTAATTCATAATTAATTCACCAGATAATTCAGAGAAGAGGCTCACAGCTGCTTTCAGGACTATTTTTTCAGTCTGATGAGTCGCTGCCACGCATTGCTGCGGATCAGGACACGACTGCAGCACTCATTTTAGCTAAAGAGCTCCGCTCCGTCTGTTTCAGGTTAGTGGACATCATTCAGTAAACTGTCCCGTCGGGAAATATGTCGCTACGTCACACAGTGGAGTCTCTCTGATTGGTTGACGCTGCGCGTCGAGCTGCAAAAGTTCAGATTTCCCAACTTCAGCGATTTGGACGATTTGGACGATCTGAGCGTTCGACGCTCAGATCGTCCAAATCGTTCAAATCGCGCTGCTCTAATCGCGCTTGAGGCGCCGCAGAACTTCCCGACGTTGCTTGAAGCGCCTCCACCATAGACTTTGCATGTAAACCTGCTGCTCCTGACGCTGAAATCGCGTTTGGTGTGAACGCACCATTACAGTATTCACATTATAGTCGAATTTAAGCAATTTTTCACACAATATACTTTTCCGCATACAGTCAAACTACAACTGCAAAAATTGTCCATCTAACCAAGTTTTACACTCTTATATCCAGCAAAAAGATTTTTTGAACTTGTTTTGATTGCAGGATGTATTTGATTAATAAAGGAGACCTATTATGGTTCCTTGAACAAATTAGGATACATCTGTGGGCTAAAAAAACATGTTAATTAGATTTAATACACAAAATCATTTCCATATAATAAGATTTCACCTGGTTCTGCCTGTTCCAAACTCCTTTCAGAGTGAGCTGCTTATGGCAACACCCTCCCAACCTGTTGTTTACTTTAGCTCCGCCCTCCCAACACAGCGTTTATGTTAGCGCTTTGGATACGTGAAGCAGATGGAAAATGGTACAATCGTAGTAGACAGCGTGGGCTTGGTAGGGACAGACGCCTTGGTGCCGGGGGGCCAACGCATGTCTGTCGCTGCTTCCCGAAGCCAGCGTAGTGGTGGGAGAAAGACGACCGGTGGGACGGTCAAGGTCCATGCTGCTGCAGCCTGAAGGCTTCGGTGTTGTGAGACGAGAGCGCCATGGTGCGAGAGTGTCTGGGCTACAGCCTCCCCTAGCGCAAAACCCACTTATCTGAGTTGGTAGGTGTTTGAAACAGCTCATTTGCTGACACTAACAAAACTTTTACACATTGCCAGGAAATGACTGACAGAATTGTTTGTTTGACTGTTTCTGGAAGCAATACAGACTCAAATTAAATATAAAAACTTTTAAAAAGGGAAATTTGCATAATAGGTTCTCTTTAATCTTGTTATCTTGGAAATTTTTTCCTTATTTCAAAAAGTCTTACCAAGTGCAAAAGTCTTACTGCACTGGCAGATCAGTTCACTTAATCTTAACCTATTTTAGGTGGCTAAATTCACAGATGATTTCACTGTATTTGCTTTGATCCTTAAACTACTCCAAACGTTTTGTTGTTGCTCAGTTGTATCAAATGTATTGACTGGCTGAAAATTCAGTGTGTCCATTTTTTTTTCTGATTTTGAAGTAAATAATGCAAGGAATAAAACTGATAAAATTATCTACACAAGTTTCCCAAGTGACCAATATAAAATGAGTTATATCAGATAATATCTCAAGAAGAAATCATGTAAGAAATTAAGCATCAATATGGTTTTCAAACTGTCAGGGATTTTAGACAAAAAAACTGCAAGTTACATTTATTAACAATAATATTTTGTGTGGTTTTACAATTGTAGCCAATTGATGCCAACATAGCAAACTCTTTTTCTTTTTTAACAATTCAGCTGTTCTTTTTTATGTAAAAAAGGCCTTTTATGGTGGTTTAAATGAGAAAAAGAATCACGGTTTCCTTTTTATTGAGGTGAAGGTGCTTTTCACATCAAATGGATGAGATGAACCTTTGGCTCAGTTTGTGTAAAATACAGACATAAATCATGTATTATCCTTCAGTCTCATAACAGTGGGATGTGAATGTTGGTCCATATCATCCAACCCAAACACAGTCTAGAAAGGTTTTGATGCTTTGATGAAGTACAGAAATCCCAAAGAAGATGGGGGGAAAGCACTGAATGTGGACCACTCAGTATAACATATACAGTATTTGTAAAATATGTATCATTGCTGCATCTCTGATATTGAACGATCTG